ATATAATGAAGTACGTTACTAGACTTTTCTAATGTTGAACAATTTACACTCTTAGAATAATCCTCACTGTGCTTTATTATTTAATGTACTGCTAGATTTTGTTTAATATGCTCTACTTACCTTGTGAAAATAATTTGGAAGTGTTCATTCTTAACCATTACTTTGGAACTGTTTAAGTAGTAATAGAATTGTAAGTTCTTAAATATTTGAGTCTAGTGAGTGTCTGTCTGTTTGTAGGAAGTGAAATCAAGCTATTTTGATCTTCCGTGTCTCTCCTGATTTTAACTTAGCAGATTTTTTTTACAAGAAAATCATTTATTTCATTCAGATTTTCTAATTTGTTTGCACAAACTGAAACAAAGTAGTCTTATGATTCTTTACAGTCCCCCTGTTTCCAAGGTGATTGCCCCTATGTGTTATTTATCCAGCCTGCTTCATTCATTTGATTAGACTTTTCTGTAGAATAGTTTCCTCAAACAGGCCCCTGGGTGATCTGTTCTCTGATCTCTGTATATCATCCCTGGAAAGAAGCAGTATCTTGGCATGGAATGGGACCCTTGGGTCTCACATTTGCTATCCTTTTTGTCTATAGATATTCTGTAGATGTTATGCCATAGCCTTTCCTTTCAGTATAAGAAGTCCAATATGTTTTCCTTTGAAAATACCTTGTACTTTCTGTCTGGAAAATTCTGAGCTTATTCTTCTATTCTTGGAGTTTAGGAATGATATCACAATTACCTAATACAATGAGACTTTTGATCTGCAGAATATTTATTTATTTATTTATTAAGCTCAAGAGAACTTGTGTTTTCTTTTTATTTATTATGACTCCTCTTCTTCTTTCAAGGATGCCTACTATTTATAGACTAGATCTCCTAGATGCCCTTTGTTTAAAAGCCATTATGTTTTCTTCATACTTTCCAAATTTCTATAATTTTGTTCTCTTTGAGGTACTTCTTTCAAATTGTCTTCTAAGACATTAATCTGGCCTCACCAGTGACCATCTTCTCAATTTGTCTGAAACCTCTTTTATTAAAAATCTATGGGTTTTATAGCACAAGGAAAGATTTTGTGCTCTAATATATTTAAGTGTACATATATATATGCATGTATATATAAATATGTATAGAGTGTTCCTATATTTTTAATAAGTGTGGGAAATGAAGAGTTAAAACTATTGTCTGCTTCCACCACTGGTTGTTTTCACTAGAAGCCATCTACTCTGGATGTTCTGCTTGTTTTTCTTCTCGGATTTCCTTATAAACATTTTTTTTCTGCATGCACTTTGGGGTTTGGGCCCAGCTGCCAGAGAAACATAAATGTAAAGAATGTTCTAGGTGAAAAGTAGAGTGAGCTCTTAGTAAGTGATCATTCTCCTGCTGATACACCAAGTGGTAGTCTTTCTCTCTGAGACAGCCTTTTTAACCCCCCCACCTCTCCTTAAAGGACTGAAAAAACAATTCCTCCAGTCACACAGCTATTAGTACCCTTTATTTAATAGGCCCAAAGAGCCCTTGTGCCCAGCTTTAACCTCACTGTTCCAATCTCCATCCAGTCTCCAGACTCCCTCTAGTCCCAGAGAGGGTGGGAAGGAGAACCGATGACACCATTGTTCACCAGATCCAAACAGAGTTGCAACCTCACATTATCAGATCCTACTTCATGTGGGACTTTGGATTGGAAGTGGAAGGGAGACAGACTCTCAGGGTTGAATTTAAGCCGCCATATTGCCTCTAGTCATTTTCCCCAAAAAAGGAGGTTCTCATTCCAGAACTCGTAAATGGGATCCAGAGGGATCCATGATCCTCTGAAATTACCATCAAATTATATTTATTTATGTATTTATCTATCTATACATATGTATGTATATGTTTCTGTGGAGTTTTTTAGAAGATTTTTTTAAAAGAATTTACTTTTTTTAGAGCCGTTTTAGTTTCACAGGAAAATTAAGAGGAAGATATAGAGATATCCCATATGGCCCCTGCTCCTAAACATCCTCCCCCATTATCAACATCCCCCCTACCTGAGTGGTACACTTGTTATAGCTAATGAACCTATATGGACACATCATAATCACCCAAAGTCTGTAGTTTACCTCAGGGTTCATTCTTAGTGTCATGCATTCTGTGGATTTGGACAAATGTATAATGACATGTATCCACCATTATAGTGTCCCACGCAGTATTTTCACCGCCCTAAAAATCATCTGCACTCTGCTTATTCATCCCTCCCCACCTCTAACCCCTGGCAATCACTGATCTTTTTAGTGTCTCCATAGTTTTGCCTTTTCTAGACTGTCACATAGAATCATATAGGATGTAGCCTTTTCAGACTGGCTTCTTTAACTTACTAACATGCACATAAGTTTCCTCCGTGTCTTTTCCTGGCTTGACAGCCCATTTATTTTTGTTGCTGAATAATAGTCAATTGTCTGAAGTTACCATAGTTTACTTACCCATTCACCTACCAAAGGGCAGATGCCTTGGTTGCTTCCAAGTTTGAGCAATTTTGAATAAAGCTCCTATAAACATCTGTGGCAGGTTTTTGTATGATTAAAAGTTTTCAACTCCTTTGGGTAAATACTGTGGAGCACAACTGATTACTTGATGGCATGGTAAGAGTATGTTTAGTTTTCTTAAAGAAACTGCAAAACTGTCTTCCAAAGTGGCTGTGCCATTTTAATTTCCCACTAGCAATGAGTAAGCATTCCTGTTGCTTCACATCCGGCATTTGGTGGTGTTAGTGTTCCAGATTTTTACCATTCCTATACATGTGTAATGGTATCTTTCTATTGTTTTGATTTGTGTGTCCCTGAAAATATATAACATTGAGCATCTTTTCATATGCTTATTTGCCATTTGTATATATTTTTTGGTGAGGTATCTTTGGCCCATTTTTTGATCAGGTTGTTTGTTTTCTTATTGTTGAGTTTTAAGTCTTTTACAAATATTTTTTCTCCCAATCTGTGGCTTGCCTTCTCAAGACAAGCCTTGACTTGACTCAAGACTCTCTTGAGTTCAGAAGTTCTTATCAGATTACAGACTCTTATCTAAATTTGGGATAAACCCCCAATATACCAATAAGTCAATATGCCAATAAGATGTAGATCACTCTCAGTCCACTAGGTAAAGAGGGTCTTACAGCCTCTCTGACACCAGAGAGTAAGTAAATATCTTCTATTTCTATGTCTTCACTTGGAAGATTACCCTTTGAAGAAAAGGCAAGTTCTTGGACCTAAAAGGAAATAGTTTTAAAGAGAAATAAAACAAGATGTATTGAGACATACCATAGTAAATAATAACCTCCATAGAGTGACAAAAATAAATATAAAAGTTATGGTTCAATGAGTTTAAGAATCAGAATTCAAAAAAAGAGCTTCTTGAAGAGAAATTAGAAAAATTTAAAGCAATAAAGTTAAGACAGGTTTATTTCCCCTCAAAAAAAGAAAAGCTTAAAATTTCTTACATTCTTGCAATAATATGTTGATGGTGATCCTTTGGCACGTAGCACTCCACTTCTAAATTTTAAATATATTGTTTTTTTAATCTCTTGAGAAAACGTTACTGGCTTTAATCATAAGTAGGTCAGCATAATGTCTACTACATTATATGGTTATCTTTGAAACACAAATCCTATTAATTCTACTGGAAAAAATAATTGATGCTTTTTTATTTGAAGTGAATATAAATATAAATGAACTTAGAAATATCTTCTTTGTCTCTACCAGGTAGAAAGCGACAAATAAACCTTTCCATGGCCTTAAATGATTTTTAGATTTTTAAATATATCCATATATTGTTTTTATACAAGTTAGTCCTTTAAATGACCATAATCCAGGTAAGCCACTGTGGGAGCAGAAGTGGAAAGGGAAAGAGAATAGACTTTAGGATAGACCTTTCTAATACACTCTACAATCCTCTACACATTCCTCTTAAACTAACAAAAGCTCACCCTCATAAATATTAAGCTATACAAGTATTATCAAGAATTCATATAGTTCTTCCACACTTACTGCAGTAAGCATACTGTATAGAATTATCAATCACCTGAAACCTGAAATGTAATATTGTATGTGAAATATACCTTGAATTAAATTTTAGGTGAAAAATTCATATAGTTCTTAATTTTCATATAATTCTTAAATCAAAAATCGGGCCCATAATCAACTGAACCACCAGGCACTCCTAGCTATCTAGTTAACCAAAGAGTTCCCATCAGTAGATGCAAATTTTTCTTAAATTAAGAACTATATGGATTTTTCACCTATATATTAGATGTAATAAAAATATAAAATGGAAGCTTGCTTATATTCTAAAAGAAATGTATATTTACTTTTTAAATGTCCTGATCATATATATGGGTATGTACAAATTTGGTCTTTCATTATACTCCATCCTTTTACCCTTCCTGTTTCCCTTTTAATAAATATGTGCTCAATAATTACTGTTGTTAAATGATGTATACTAAAAATCTATGCTCAGGTACTGGAATCCAGCTGTCCTATTACCTTTTTTTAAATTTCTTTTAGGGAGAAACAGAATGCGTGCAAGCAGGTACAGGGGCAAAGGGAAAAAATCCCAAGCTGACTCCCCACTCAGTGTGGAGCAAAATGTGGGATCTCAGTAGATCATGACCTGAGCCCAAATAAAAAATCGGGCCCATAATCAACTGAGCCACCAGGCACTCCTAGCTATCTAGTTAACCAAAGAGTTCCCATTAGTAGATGCAAAAGCAAATATAGAACAGTGATAACAAATCACTGGATGATCACAGAGCTTAGGTCCACGAAGCCAGATGCATCCATCTTATCAGTGCTGCCACAATCAACCAACCCATCAGGAATAGTTCTCATCGTGAGACCTATATGCCATCCTGATTTCAAGTATTGTCATCTTACCATCACTTGCTGGGTATTTTCTATCTGGCTCCCAGACTGTCTTCAAAATGAATTTCTAGATCAAATGAACTCTATTTAACTATACTAAATTTCTTGGTTTCAGATGGCTATACCACGGATGACATTGAGTTTTACTGGAATGGAGGAGAGGGAGCAGTAACTGGAGTCAATAAAATTGAGCTTCCTCAGTTTTCAATTGTCGACTACAAGATGGTATCCAAGAAAGTGGAGTTCACAACTGGTGAGGATATTTTCCCCAAAATGAAGTAGGAGCACTGTGAAAGAAGGATGATTCCTATCAAATGGAGATCTGATTTTTGTTTTCTTTTTTTCTTTTTTCTTTTCTTTCTTTCTTTCTTTTTTTTTTTTTAACTCAGGGGCATATCCACGACTGTCACTAAGTTTTCGTCTAAAGAGAAACATTGGTTACTTCATTTTACAAACCTACATGCCTTCCACACTGATTACAATTCTGTCCTGGGTGTCTTTTTGGATCAACTATGATGCATCTGCAGCCAGAGTTGCACTAGGTAATGCATTCCCAGCACTGCAGAGAACTAGTACAATTCAACTTCAACCAACCAACCAATGTAAGAAATTATAGGCACGGGTGTCTATCAGAGCAAGTCAAAGAATGAGATGACCGTTAATGGTCCTTGATAGTAAAGCACCTAAGTGTAAGCATTTTCAGGATGAATGTTTTACAATGAAATATCTTTTTAGCATTTTACCAAAAAACAAAATCTTGGAATATATTCAATACTAACTATATAAGTGCTTCTTAGAGTCTACTTTTAAATTCTTATTATACTAATTTTTACTAACTTTGTGATGATTTCCTCTTTGGTCCCTGCTTTTTACAGTAAAGAATATTAAAATTCATTATTCTCAAATGGATTTTAGAAAAGCTAAACCTTGTGACTATTAACAAGCTATGTCAATTGTTGGGCAATACTACCTTTCAAACATTAACTAAAGTTAAGTCATGTAGATTTGAGTTTCCCTTAAACATAGCTCATCACACTTGAATAAGGCACAGACATTCATCAGCTGTATTAATGATCTGTGATCAGGGTGGAATAAAAATGGCTTCCTTCCTCAGGGAAGAAAATTGAAAATTAATCTTGCCATGGCTGAGTAATTGCTGCAAGCTGAAAGGCTATATTTGAGACTTTAGAGGGTTCCTTGGAAAGTTAGAATATGTAAGGTCTGTTTGATAAATCTGAGCATGTGTGGGTCTGCCTCATTATTTAATCCCAGAGTCCTTTTTCTTTAAGATTTTATTTATTTATTCATGAGAGACACAGAGAGAGAGGCAGAGACATACGTGCATACACACACACGCACACACACACACATACACCAAATACATAACAACATCATTTCCAGCTAAACTGACATTCACATCCCTTCTTTTGAGATTGCTAAACTGAGTTAGACGCTCAGTATATCCTTCCACACCTATACCAATAGTCATCTCTCTAGCTTATTTCTAATGGCTGAGTAATTTCTAATGGCTCACAAAGTCAAGTTCTGGAAGCCCCTTCTCAACTTTTGAACATTCAAAACTAAGGAAAGCCAACAAATAATGTATCACATCACAGGTATGAATCTGCACGTATTATTTGGCCATGAATACAAGTTAAGGAAAAAATAATAGATGATGTGCACAGCAGGGAATAAATACTATCAAGATCATGAATTGTGGTTCTCTTTACACATCTATTCTCAAAGCTAATGATATTTTGATTAGAGATGTCAGCACATAAAAATGCTGACTTAATCTTTTCTTTGAAATGAATCTGTGCTCTTTTAAAACAACTAAATAAAAAAGGCATTTATTTACTAACCCAACTTGCCTAAAAATTTAAACCAAGGAGTAAAAATGGAAGTGCAATTAGTGGATTGGTAAATAAACTGTTTATTTCTGCTAAGGATTATTAGTTCATAATTCTATGAACTAGAATTATATTAGGCAAAATTTAAATTTTTATTGAAAGAAATAAGTAAGACCATTCATGATGACATTTCATGAGAGTGCAGCACATTTGAATTCATCACTGATCTGAATCATTTTAACTTTCTATATGGTAATCCTGACTATTCTCTTAAAAGTTGAATAATCAAATCAGGGAATTTATCTAAAATAATCTGACAGGTAAATGAGTGCTAAACTCTTTTTTTCCCCTTTTCATTTTCTACCTCCCATTCTCTTTGCCAGCTGCCCTTTGTCTTTAATGTCCATTTTAACATATCCTGTCTTTATTTTTAAGGACTGTCATCAAATTTCAGGTTTAATCCTATCTCTGCTTTATTTTAAATGCCTTTGTTTAACACCTCCTTGCTTTTTTGCCCCTAGCTGGGTGATCTACAGCAAAATAACTAATCTCAGAATATCTGTTTATTCAGCTATAAAACAGGAATAATATACCTGCCCTATCATACTCAGCAAGCTGTCATTACAGCCATATAATATAAAGCATACCTGTGTTTAAAAGTGTAATATGCTATATAAATGTGTAATATTAGTATTACAGCATGAATTATCTACATTAGGTTCCAACTTCCTTTTTGCAACTTGTTTTTCTTAGTTACATTTCAGCATCACTATCATCATCACCAAATATTATACAGCCATGCAAACATTCTATGGTTAAGAAAGCTGCATTTAACAAAATAGACAAAACATCATTTTCCTTTTGAAAGTTTACAGCCTTAATCTTCTTCAACAAATCTAAGTTGAATTTTTCAGAGTCTTTTCTTGATTCCAGGGAACTAATTCATTCTTGACTCTGGAATCAAGAAGTAAAGGTAATACTTGAAAAACCAAAGCAACAAGATTATATCTAAAAATTACATAAATCAAGTGCTTGATGCAAATCATGAACTTTCTTACGTACTTCTTCTTTTAGAGCCGTCTCATTATGAATGATGCATTATTAGTGTAACAATGTGTAATGCTGATCTTATGGCCTGGATGTGTTGTAGATAAATGGACTGACCTCAGACTGGTCACAAACTTTCATTGTGGGCATTAGTATCCCAAGGACAGATTTAGTAGGAAAGTGAGATGCTGAGAGAAGGAAGAAGATGTGGTGTGTAACAGGACAAAGGACATTTGACAGTAGACAGTAAGCATATCAATGGGATTTTGATATGCCTTTCCATTTACTTTTCTTTTTCCTATGTGCACTATTTTTTAAAACAATGTTTTCCAACCCTCCATTAATGGTACATCCTGTTTTATGATTTGTTCATGGACTGTATGGGGGAAGTCTGCAGCTTTGTCTTTCAAAATGTCTGCTTTTTCTGCCCAATGGTTTATGGCAATACTACCATCATTCTGGGGCACCACTACGGAAATTGCATCTGTCTCCCCATTCTTTAAAGGGCAGCTTAATGAGTACATTCAGCTAAGCTGTGTCTTTCTGTTTCGTAGGAATCACCACTGTGCTGACAATGACAACCATCAGCACTCACCTCAGGGAGACCTTGCCAAAGATCCCGTATGTCAAAGCGATTGATATTTACCTGATGGGTTGCTTTGTGTTTGTGTTCCTGGCTCTGCTGGAATATGCCTTTGTAAATTACATCTTCTTTGGAAAAGGCCCTCAGAAAAAGGGAGCTAGCAAACAAGACCAGAGCGCCAATGAAAAGAACAAACTGGAGATGAATAAAGTTCAGGTAATGTATTAAATATTCCTAACAATATTCTTCCAAAATGTATTAGCACCATGGTTCTCAAGGCTCCCATAACGGAAAAAAAGTATATTAATATATCTTTAATATAGCTCAAATACCCTTCCTTTTTCCATGTTTGAGAACTGAGTATTAAAGAAGTTAGGTTGAAATTAACATAAATTAATAATGTACCTGGGCCTAAAATTCAATTCCAAGTCCATTATTCTTCCTAAACTATGTAGTTGTAAAACTCTATACAGAAGAATAATGCCATATTTGCTTGATAAATAAGTGAGAGAACTACGCTGAATCAGTCTGTACTAAGTGTAAATAAAGAAATACAGTCCACTGGTTACAAACACAGACTGGAGTTAAACTGCTTGAGTTTGATTCCCAGCTCCACTACTACTGGCTTTATAACTTCAAGCAAATCAATCTACGTTACTCCTCATCTAACCTCTCTTCTCAGTGTGATCATCCATAAAACAGAGATTATTTTAGTATACCTACCTCACAGAGTTGTTATGTGAACTAGATGAGTATTTTTCTAAAGCCTAATATTTGTAACAATACTTGGAACATAGTGCTCATTATCACTATAGCTAGCTATTATCATTATAAATAAGACATTGTCACTATTTTTCTTTTGCTTTACAATGGTAGATCCTATGACCTATGCTTTTGCTGGGTGGAATTAACTAAAATTAATACCCTTTTTATTCTTTGAGAACATATCTTTAGCCTCTGCTTCTATGCCACATTTCACTGAAATCAAATTATGTACATTGAAATACGATATCCACTATAAATTGTTTTCAGGATGGCACACACAAATATTCATTTATTTAACCTCTGTTCTGAGCATTAGAAATATATCTCTGAAGGAGACAAAGTTCCTGGCTCAGCTCTCATAGAGTTTAGATTCTAATGTGGGAAGACAGGCAATAAACGTGTAAAAATGTATTAAGAAGATAATTTCAGGTTGTAGTAAGTGCCTCTGAAGAAAATAAAACAGAGAAATGGGTAAGCGAATGATTTGGAGCAGATTCAAGGGAACAAGGAATGGGAATGTAGAGCAGGTGATGAGAAAGACCTGTCTGAGACATGACCAGTGGATCTGAGACCTAAGAGGTGAGCAGCAGTAACCATGCTGTGCCTATTCCACGCAGAGGAAATGAAAGTACAGAGACTCTGAGGAAGGAATTGCTTGGTGTGGGCCAGTACCAAGAGAAGACTAATGTGGCAAGAGTATAGCAAGTGAGGGAGAAAATGTAGACTGAGAAGTGGTTGGAAAATCAGGCAGAAGCCAAACTATAAATCTTCCAAGTTGTATCTTCATGATTTTGGTGGGACACCAAAACTGGACAAACACTGTCAGGTAACTAGTGAGCAAAATACCAAACAGATTCAGCCAAATGGTCAAGATCCAAAGTAGCTCATCCAAATACATTTTTACTCTTATGTGAAATATTAAGCTGGATTCTATGGGAGAAGGAGAAAGCATGATACTTGCCCTCAAGAATCTTCTGATCTTCCTCGGAAAGAAAATTATACTCCTAGGAGGCAATTAGATTATAAAATGATACAGGAAAGCACCTATCTTGAGGAGTATATCTGAAAGTAAAAGGCTTCCTTCCCATTGTCAGCTTGTAACCATACCGACTTTAAAAGTGTTAGCAGAATTTTTTTAAGGCTACCTCATTTCTGCCTTATCTCATTCCTATCTCAGTTGCCTAAGCCAAAACTGGTCTTCTGAATGGCTTAAAATGTGTGTTAATTGATATATCATGGGGGGAAGGCCTACATAAATAAAGTGGCATAGGTTCACTGGTAGGAAAACCCAAAGATATGAACTTGAATGGACATTCAAAAATAAGTAGAATTTAGAAAGGTAACAAGGACACATGATGAGATGAGCACTGGGTGCTATACTATATGTTGGCAAATTGAATTTAAATAAAATATTTTAAAAAATGGAAAAAAATTAAAATTAAAATTAAATCAGCATATTCTTTGACCCAGTTTTTGTTGAAAAAAATAATTAGATACACATGTAAAGTCATTTGCACGTGGACTTGCAGTACAATTCTTTTCCTAGAAATGAGAAATTGAAATAAATCTAATTGTTCAATAAAATAAAACTGTTCAAATAAAATTAAAAAACAAAGAAGATAACAAGGAGAAAACAGAGCCTTTCAGTTGGCTAGAAAAGCAATGTTCTCTAGAAAGGTGATTAAATGGCAAGCTCAAGTAAACTGAAATCAATTCATTCAGATCATTACAAAGATCATGGAAGAAACTTAGCAAAACTCTTTGGTCATTGCCTTGATTCCACCCCAGGATATCAGAGAACTTCTCTAAGCTGCTATAGGACAAATAAAGACAAAAGGAAAGCCTGTATGTCATATCATATCTAAATGTATAATATATATTGCTCTGAAGAGGACTTAGTGACTGCACTAATAAGTAAAATGTGTCTATCTAACTGATCTTTATGTCATGAGCAGGCTGTTTGAGTAGCACTGGGCTTAAACATAGTAAGATTTCCCTGGATCTCAAATTAGAAAACTTTTATTCCAGGTGAATTGACATTTTAAGATTTGAATCCCAGTAGAAAGGGTAGAAAAATCCACCCCAGTTGTCAGGAGATGAAACACTTAAAGAAGATAAAAATGTGGGGGAACCTGAGTGGCTCAGTGGTTGAGTGTCTGCCTTTGGCTCAGGTCGTGATCTCAGGGTCCAGGGATCGAGTCCCACATCGGGCTTCCCGCAAGGACCCTGCTTCTCTCTCTGCCTACATGTCTCTGCCTCTGTCTGTGCCCCCCGGATAAATAAATAAAATCTTTAAAAAACAAAAAAAGAAGAAGGAGAAGGAGAGGAGGAGGAGGAGGAGGAGGAGGAGGAGAAGAAGAAGAAGAAGAAGAAGAAGAAGAAGAAGAAGAAGAAGAAGAAAATAAAAATGTGTTTTTATCCATGAAAAGCTAGACAGAAACTCCACAAATACTTTTCACAGAAACACAAAAGACAAAATAAATAAATCATGTTAAGACATGAAAGAGTAGTTTATATCAGACTGACCCTTCTATGGATTAAAAATTATAAACCCTGAGCAAAAAATTTTTTAAATCTGCTTGAAGACATAGCAGAGTAACTAAAAAGAAGCAAAAACTAAAAGAGAATCAACCCTCAAATAAAGGGAATGACACTGTGAAATCTCTATACATCTTTGCCCTGAGGCCTCTCCCCAGTCTGGGGATGTGGGACAGCAGAACTTCAGGAAGAACAAAAAACAACAACAAAACAAAACCCCTACAGTTTTATTGGTCTGATGAATCAGAACTTGGAGTTTGATACTTCCAGAGTTCCTAGATATCTTAGAAAGAAGTGAGCCACAAAAGAATCTCAAAATCTGAATATCACCTTCCCACAAATCCAAGGTTCATCCCTGAACTACAAAATGTATAAAATGTTAAGAAGTCTGGAAGGTAAAAATAGCTGACAGGCTGAAAAAGAGCAAAAATAAGGAATTCACCTTGAGTTAAGGAAGAACTAAAATAGATCCACACTAACTACACATGAAACCAAGTCACTATACATTCTAGGTGACCTATTAGTAATTTAACTGCCTGTTAAAACAAAACTCAACACTTGTCAGGGAAATACAGAATCCTGAGTCTCTACAGTGCATCATCGACATAGTATCTAATAAACAATTACTAGGCATGAGAAAAAAAAAAGAAAACATGCTCAAGAGAAAAAATTTAGTCACTAGAAACAGAACTACAAAAGTCTCAATGTTGGCTTAAAAGATAAGGACCACAATTAATAATAATAACTACAGTTAATATAAGTGAAAAATTCATAGGTAATAGCTCCAAACAGAAAACAACAGAAATATCCTGTAATAGGCAAATTGTCAAGCAAACTGTAGTATATTCCTACCATGGACCACTAGCCCAATAAAGAGTAATGCACTAGTGATACATACAACTTGAATGGATCTCAAGGCCATTATGCTGAGTGAAAAAAAAAAAGCGCATCCTAAAAGATTAAACACTGTATGATTCCATTTATTGTAATATGCCTGAAATAACAAAATTACAGAGATTGAAGAATGAATTAGTGGGTGCCAGGAGTTAGTGATAAAGGGGAGGGATTAAGTGTGATTAGAAAGGGGTAGCATGAGGCAGATCCTTGAAGTTGTGGAATAGTTCTGTATCTGGCAGTGGTGCTTATGAATCTTCACATGTAATGGAATTACGCAGAACAAGACACACTTTACACCAATGTCAGTCAGTTTCCTGGGTGATATTGTACAGTAGTTAAGTGAGCTATAGTCAATGGGAGAAGATAGGCGAAGGGTACATGGGACCTCTCTGTGCTGTCTTTGCAGCTTTTTAGGAATCTAAAATAATTTCAAAATAAAAAGTTTTTAAAAAGTCCATAGGAAGAGATTAATTTAATATATGAAAAGATGGGGAGTTTCAGAAAAAGATTTAAAACTATGAAAAAGTTGGGATCCCTGGGTGGCGCAGCGGTTTGGCGCCTGCCTTTGGCCCGGGGCACGATCCTGGAGACCCAGGATCGAATCCCACATCGGGCTCCCGGTGCATGGAGCCTGCTTCTCCCTCTGCCTGTGTCTCTGACTCTCTCTCTCTCTCTCTCTCCCTCTCTGACTATCATAAATAAAAAATAATAATAAATAAATGAAAATATAAAACTATGAAAAAGAACCAATGGAAATCATAGAATTGAAAAATGCATTAGATGGATTAGCATCAGATTTTATACAACAGAAGAAAGGACTAAAAAACAGAAGAAGAAGGGGGGAAAAAAGGGACATCTAGGTGGCTCAGCGGTCGAGCATCTACCATTGGCTCAGGGTGTGATCCCAGGGTCATGGGATCGAGTCCCGCATCAGGGTCCCCGCAGAGAACGTGCTTCTCCCTCTGCCTGTGTCTCTGCCTCTTTCTGTGTGTCTCTTATGAATAAATAAAAAAAAA